TCCATCCGCCGGCCCCCTTGTGGGGCCACCAGGCTGTAGGCCGAAGGTTCGCAGTGTCCTGCCCAGTTGCAGCTTCCAGTTTCCACTGTTACAGTTCTGCTTCTTGCTGCTTACAGTTCCTTGTTACAGTTCTGCCTCTTGCTGCTTACTGTTCCTTGTTGATGGACCGCGCGAGGGGGGGAGGCCCAAAACGGGCATTAATTACAACGCCCTGGGAGGGTTATCAGGATTTCAGGGGGGGTAAGAATTGACACCCCTCACGCAGATCGGCGGGGTCAGGGTCCAAAAACAAATGGGATTTGCCACATTTCTGACATTCGGTGGCACCCCTCACGCAGATCGGCGGGGTCAGGGTCCAAAAACAATGGGATTTGCCACACTTTTGAAATTCGGTGGCACCGCTCTCGCAGATCGGCGGGGTCAGGGTCAAAAACATACTGGGTTTACCACATTTCTGACATTCGGTGGCACCCCTCACACAGATCGGAGGGGTCAGTGTGCAAAAACGCAAGGGATTTGCCACATGTCTTAAATCCGGTGGCACTCCTCACGCAGATCGGCGGGGTCAGTGTCCAAAAACAAAAAATATGTGCTACATTTCTAAAATTTGGTGGCACCACTCACGCAGATCGGCGGGGTCAGCGTCAAAAACACAGGGGACTGGTCACGTTTCTGAAATTCGGTGGCACCCCTCAAGCAGATCGGCAGGGTCAGGGTCCAAAAACACAAGGGATTTGCCACGTTTCTGAAATTCGGCGACACCCCTCACGCAGATCGGCAGGGTCAGGGTCCAAAAACACAAGGGATTTGCCACATGTCTGAAATTCGGCGAGGCGCGCCGCTGCGCCATCGGTCGCGCCCTCCATGGGTTGCGTCATGAGTTGCGACATCCATTGATTACACCATTGTTTGCCCCGTAGGATGCGCCATCCGCGGGGTGCACCATGGGGCGCACTCGTCGGTCGAACACAATCAGGCCTGCTGTTGGTTGCGCCATAGATTGCGCGCTCGACGGCCGAAAATGAAACGACCGACAAATGGTTGCGCCATGAATTGCGCACTCGGCGGCTGAAAGTGGCACAGCAGCCTGTTAATGGTTGTGCCATGCGCTGCGCATTCGGATACAGTGGCCTGCTATTGGTTGCGCCAGAACTTCCAGAATCTGCAGCCGAGAATAAAGCGGCCCACGATCGGTTGCGCCATCGGTTGCGCACTCGGCGGCCGACAAAGAAACGGGCGCCTAACGGGTGCGATCAATCAGTGAGCCAGTCAACTCAATGCATCTCAGGTCCATGGCGCTTCCCCTAATTACTAAGCGACCGAAATGACTCCCCTACAATCGCGACAACTCTTGTCAACATCCATCTGCAGAAAAAAAAAAAAAAAAAAAAAAAAAAAAAAAAAAAAAAGGAGGAACCAGGCTCGGGCACTGTATCCTAGAGCAGGAAGTCAAAGCGCATCAAGCCGAGAATCCCACCAGCCCTCTGGGCGTCGGTGGTTTAGGGCGTTTCCTCTTCCACCCCTCCCTCTTCCCCTTCGGGGAGGGGTTTACCCCTCCCCCTACCCCCTCCCCACTGACCTGGACAGGAGGGGCGGGGAGCGGTCAGAGCGTCCAAGATGGCCCAGGACGGCTCCAAGAGGGCCTCAGAGAGCCCAAGATCGCCTCCAAGATGGCTCAAGATAGCGCAAGATGCCTGAAGATGGTTCAGAAGACGCTCCAACACGTTCCAAGACCGCTCCAAGATGGTTCCAAGTGCCCACAAGAGCATCATTAGAGTGCCCTCAAAAGGCCGAAATGCTTCAAAACCCTGGGGAAAATCAATGTTTTTGGTGTTCTCACTTTTTCGCTTCCGAAGCCCATCCGAGGCCTCAAGATGGCGCCAAGATGTCCCAACTGGGCCCCAACAGGGGCCCAAGACAGCCTCAAGACTGCCTCAACAGCGTCCAAGAGCGCTCCAAGAGCGATCCAAGAGGGGTCCAGGAAGCGATTTTAGACAGGCTGGAGGGGCAACGCTAATTAAAGCTCTGCTCTTCTTTGATACATTTGCTCCAAGATGCCCCCCCAGAGCGCCCCGATGGCGTCTAAAAGGACCCCAGACGCCAAAAACTGCTTCAAAATAAGTTCAATCGTTGATCGATCTCCTTCTAAATGGCTCCAAGAGACGTCTTGGACTCTCCTCTTGGGCCCTGCGCGCGGGCGGGCGGAGCGCCGTCCGCCCGCCCGCAAGGCCCAAGAGCCCACCAAACCGTTCGAAGATACCTCCAAGACGCCACCAGGGAGGAGGAAGAGGCGGAGGAAGAGGAGGAGGAGGAGGAGGAGGAGGAGGAAGAGGAGGAGGAGAGGGAGGAGGAGAGGAGGAGGAGGAAGAAGGCGGAGGAGGAGGAAGAGGGAGAGAAGAACAGCTGCCGATCATCGGCGCTCTTCGTTCGAGTGCCTGGTGTAGGATGGGCTGGTGGGGATACGCGAAGCGTCAAGAATTTCGAAGAGGATCACGGTTCCGAGAGGGTTCCTTTCAGATTTCGCCCGATCTGGCGCGCCGCGATCAGTGCCATGGAGGGGCACTTACTTAACGAAAGGCCAGTCTGCTGCATCGCCTCACGGTGCGCCGGCGCTCGCAGCATTCTGCGGTGTTCAGCCTTCTGCGGTGCTGAGCAGTCTGCGGTGCTGAGATGCTGAGGACTCCTCCTCCTGCCCCTCGTCCTGCTCCTCGTCCTCGCACCTCTCTCTCCCCCATCCTCCTTCTCCTCCTTCTCCTTCTCCTCCTCCCTCCTCTTTCGCTGGCGGGGCAAAAACAGAAATGACTATCATTGCATGCGCTCCTGGATTCGTGTAGTCATCTTTGCGCAGGGGTCATTCGAGTGTGCTGTACCGACGTGCAGACGGGAAGGCAGGCAGAACAACATCAATTCTATTATCCCGACAGACGCGAGGACTTCGAAAAGAGACAGCGCCTTCGTCTTGCGGAACACGCTGGGAGTGGACCGGACGGCCCAGGTCTCCCTGCGGGATTGCGGACAGTGCCACGGATTCAACGAGGGAAAGGCTGAAGATCATCTAACAAAAAAGCCAGCAAGAGAAAGAGAGAGAGAGAGACACACGAAGGGACACTTGAGAATCCATAGAGAGTGAGGGTGAGAGTGAGTGTGCGTGGCAAACGAGGTAGATCACCAGGATCTGGAGAGACGAGGAGAAGTTGAAAGGGATGAGCCAGGCCAGAACGGAGAAAAGAACAAGGGAGATGGCAGCAGGGCAAAGGGACAGAGTGAGCGCGAGGGGGGGGGCAGAGAGGAGCGACTACCTGGATGGATGCGATCCGCCTCTGCTGCCAGGCGGCTCACGTCTGAAGATGCCTCACGAGGTGAGGGTATGACGATGACACGCTCTGGGGGGTGCTCCATCCTCCTCGTTCTCCTCCTCCTTCTCCTCCTCCTGCTCCTCCTCCTCCTCCTCGTCCTTCTCCTCCTCCTCCTCCTCCTCCTCATTTCCCTCCCCCTCTCTTCTTACCCACCTTTTGGGAAGCACCGCGAGCTTCAATGCTTAGGCTCGGCGCGCGGAACGAATCGAGAATAATACCAGCTGCACTCTGACGAAGACCTGCCAACCGGTCTGCCCCAACGTCGTCGTCGTCGTGCCGCCGCCGTCGCCGCTGCCGTCCTCGTCCTCCTCGTCGTCACCGCCATCATTTCTGCCTTGGTCGTCGCCTCGCCGTTCCCAGGGGTGTGGCTGCGGCCTGACAGCTGGGGTCCGACAAGGGGAAGGGTGGAGGTTGGGCCAGAGGCTAAGCGGGAGCGGATAACGTCACAACGTATGCAGGAAGTCAGCCACTCTGGAAGCGACCTGCCCGAAGGCGAGGGACTCGGCTGTAGCTCTGCGTCGTTCGCAGTCGAGTCCCCTACCGGTTCGGTCCGTTTCCCGAAGGGTCCCGTCCATGGTGTTTGCACGAGGAGCAACAAAAGACGATGGGGAGCAAACAAGACGACGAGGAAGAGGAGGAGGAGGAGGAGGAGCAGAAGAAGAAGAAAAAAACACATAGGCAGAAACCGTTGGCGCTCCGCGCGGATTTCTTGGATCCGGGCCAGGCCCCTCCTCCCTGGCGCGCGGAGCGCGCCAGGGGCGGCACCGGAGGCGCCGCAGGTGGGGCCCAGGCGCGAATCCAAGAAATCCGCGCGGAGCGCCAAAAGTTTTTGTTTGTAGCGTGTTTTGTTGTTCTTCTTCTTCGAAGTAGGAAGAAGAGGAGGAGGAGGAGAAGGAGGAGGAGGAGGAGGAGGGAAAGTCAGACGAAGAAGACGGTCTGCTCAGCATATTTTCCCTGCCCTCTGCACATGCTGCTGCGGGCGTGCCGCTCGGATGGCGCATGGCAGCGGCGCCGTGCCGCAAGCGATTCGGCCTGGGGCCGTCCCGCCGGGAGAAAAATCTGGGCGTCGAGTGCAGCAGCTGCCCGCAAGAAGAAGTCCCCGGAGGAGAACCGCGAGGCGTATCCTGCATGTCCCCCTACAGGGAGATTTTGAGCGAAAAACCAAAGATACCCAAAACACATAGTCCCCCCCAGAAAAAAACCTTAAAAATTCGTCCCCAGACTTCTGTTGACTATAACATTCCCCCTGCAGAGGGAAAAGCCCGACTTCGGTGCATCGTCGAGTCACAGCTTCTGTCCTGAGGTGCTCCCGTGGCACAGGAGCGCCTCAAGAGAAGGCGCGGAAGTGCTGCGCATGCACGCCCGAGAACATCACTGGGGGGCATCTGCTCGGGTGGGGAGGGGGGAGCGGCGAAAGAGAGGGAGGAGGAGGAGGAGGAGGAGGAGGAGGAGGAGGAGGAGGAGGAGGAGGAGGAGGAGGAGAGGATAACGACGACGATCCCCAAGAGAATCATGCACGCCGAACCCATCCCCCACGGGGGACTGGTTCGGTGCGCTGAAGCATAACGAGAACGGCAGTGGCGAGGACACGAAGACGACGCGGAAAAGGACAAAGTGGAGGAGGAGGCCCGACACGCTGTAGCCTCACGCCGCAGCCGCCTGGCCAGCCGGCTGCGACGCGCTGGAGTCAGGCAGCGCCAGGCCCGCCCAGGTGCGCGACACCCACTCTCCTGGAGGGGGAGGCGGTGGAGAAGAAGGCACGGCCAGGGGCGAGTAGGAATAGGGCGAGGAGGAGTGGAACCAGGAGGAAAGAAGGCTGAGGGAACGCACCAGAAAGAGGAGGAGGAGGAGGAGGAGGAGGATGAGCATGACCATGTGACAATGTCAATGAATGCCTGCCCAAAAAAACCTGGAGAGATGAAAGGCAACATACATCAGGCTCTGCCTCGCTGTCGCTTCTCTGCTGCACATAAGACCTTGGGTTCAAGGCCACGAGAAATTCTACTGATGTGCTCCGCCCGACTCGGAGTCACACGTTCCGTGCACAACTTACCCAATTCGCGAAGCACAACCGAAGTATAGCATCCACAAGCCTTGCAGCACCAACCCGAATTTGCTCGAGAACTGCATGACACGAGACTGCTCCACCCATTCCCCAGCGATGTGAAATTTGGCATGTGAGGGCTGATATAAGATGGATCCGTTATATTGAAAAATCAGGCGTCGTGGCCTTTGACGCCGACCCTGCACACCTACGGCAAGCTCTTCCCGAGTCATCCAGGCAATGAGAAGACGAAAAGAGGGACCGCGAAGCAGCAGCAGGTGGCGGACGCCGTTTCACCGTCACGTTTCCTTTTTCTTCGACGACTCCCGCCTCGACTGTGAACGTATCGAGCGACGCATGAAACAAGCGCATTCTGACCAGAAGCGCACGGCGCTCATGCATAAAAACCTTGTCGGACCGACACAGGGAGGCGGGCTTGGCAAGCAGCCAAATTCGCAACAACATCCGCAATCGCCCTACCAGTGATGAGCCATCGCTGCGACCGATTTCTCGCGATTGCTTCCTCATCCCGGCGGGAGTGGACGAAAACAACTGAAACTTCTTCTGGGCAGCGCTGCTGCACACGAGAGGTCTCGCCTAGCATCGCCCAGAGGTCGCCATCTTCCCTTCCGAGAGTGAACCACTTCCTACTGTACTAGCCGACAGCGACCGCCTCGCAGTCTGTTGCATATAGAATGGTTCCTCTGGTGACCCAACGAGCTAGGACAAACGCAGGAGGATAAGGAGGGGGAGGAGGAGGAGGAGGAGGAGGAGGAGGAGGAGGAGGAGGAGGCGGAGGAGGAGGAGGAGGAGAGGGAGGAGGAGGAGAGGAGGAGGAGGAGGAGGAGGAGGGGGAGGAGAAGGCGGAGGAGAAGGAGGAGGAGGAGGAGGAGGGGGAGGAGGAGGAGGAGGAAGAGGAGGAGGAGGAAGAGGAGGGGAGGAGGAGGAGGGGAGGAGGAGGGGAGGAGGGAGGAGGAGGAGGAGGGGGAGGGGGAGGAGGTGGAGGAGGAGAGATGCAGGAGCGACCGTACCAGGAAAGGACGAGACGAGGGCAAGCGGGCAAGACGCGGGAAGAGGGCAAGTGACCACGAGTCCGCTTGTCTCGACTATGGCCGCATCGCGTGCCGTGCAGCAGCTAAGCAGTCGGTGCCTGCAGTGTAAAGAAGCGCGGCGCGGGGCGCGGCGTGCGTAATGATACGCAGTTTGTTGTAAAAGTGAAATGGAAGGGCTGTCCTGCGAACAGCTTCTGAAATAGAGTGCTCTGGGTTTGCGTGTTGCTCTGACGTCCCTAGGCCAATTCGCACAAGGGGGTCCGAGGAGAGAAAGGAACGAGGTAACGCGAGGAAGTGCAGAAGGCGGGGACAGATGAGGTAATGGCCGAGACGGTCTGGGCAAGCTACGCACCCGAGCAGACACGTGCGGCGTGGTCCAAATGGGAATCGGTGGCTGGTCCACCATGCTCCCGCTAGTGTTTTAAAGACAGCCCAGCGGATGGCTGGTGCTTTCTTTGAAAGGAAATCAGATAGCTCCTTCCAGCGAGTTGACAGGGCTGGAGGAAGCACGACATCTGGAAGAGCCGACGAGAGGCGGCGCGCTAGGGTCTCTGCGAACTTGCCAGGGTAGAGGGAGGCGTGGAGGACCGAGGCGAGGGTTCGCTGGACCCTAGGACGGCGCGCTTCGTTGGTGGCAGCGGCGTGCTCGTTTGCTGCGGCGCGTTGTGCCGCGCGCCAGATGGGCGTTGAGACGGAATATGGCGGCTGACCGTCAGCAAGTTCGCGCCAATATTCGACGATACCTGGGCTCTTCCAAAACACAAGCGAAACCGTGGCCCGAATATGGGCCTGCCCCAACTCCGCCAGGGACATTTCTGGATTGAGCTGGTCCTGGCCCAGGACGAGCGCGCGATATAGCGGCTTCCAGTCGGGGAGCGTGGCAGCGGCAGTGCGCCATGCAGCTGCGAGTGAAAGCGTGACCAGTGAATTGGGGGAGGACGAGGGCGACCACGAGCGAGTACCGAGGAGGTCGACGAGGCGCCAGGAGTTGGGAGGTGCACGTAAAATGTTGTGCAGCGCGCTACGTTCATGCCTCAGAAATGTGGCAGGGAACTGGAAATATTGCATGAGACACGAAAGCACAGTTATAACACATGTGTTATATAGTTTGATGGCAACTGAGGGGCCTGGTGCGCTCGCCGCAAGCTGCACCACTCGAAGCCAGTAGTTATCAAATGCGGCCTTCCACTGGATGTCTAGAGCGACTGCAGGCCCGATGAGTACGCCTAAATATCGGGCATACTCGGCGATCTGAATGTGTTGTCACTCTGGGACTAGAAATTGGAGCAAGCGCTGAGTGAGAGATTGCACGGCGGGTGAGAAAGCGGCCCACAGGGGCACTAGCACTGTCTTCTGAATCTGAAGTTCGAGTCCTGCGAGAGTAGCAATGGCCCGAACAGGGGGGAGGAGGAAAGGGAGGGACCCAAGGCGAGCAAGGACAAGGCCCAGATCATCGGCGCAGGCACCGAGCTTGTTGGATCCAGGAAGACGGTTTAAAACCTGGACTAGCTGACGGATGGGGGCATCAAACGCCAGGGCCCAGATCGATCCTGAAAGAGGACAGCCCTGAAGCACCCCAGAGCCGATTTCGAACATGTACTGAAGCTGGCCATTGACGCGGGCCCGCGCCCCTGGGGAATGGTAAAGCGCCCGAATGACATTGAGATACCCAGGGGGGACTCCGTGAGCCACCAAAGAGGCAAACAGGAATTCCCATCCTAAGGATGGGAAGGCAGCTTTGATATCGAAACTGACTAAGATGGGAAGGGCATCTAGGACAGCTGGGGAATGGCCTGCTCTACGGGCTTCAGAATCTAGCGTCAGAACGTGTTGTCCAAAATTACGGCCCTTTACGAACCCCTGTTGCGTGTCTATCGTTCTCTCTTTGACCGTATCCACTAAGCCCATGTTCACGACGTGGGCAATCAGTTTGGCGTCGCAGTTCTTTAGGGAGAGGGGGCGAGTGGCACCTGGAGCTCGGAATACGGCATATTGGTCCTGGGGCTCATCACCTTTTGGAAGAAACGCGAAGACAGAATCGTTGTACTGAAACGGAGCCAGGCCCGTTTCGAACATCTGCATCATGAGGTCATATAGGATCTGCGAGGAGCCTGGAGAGGTTGCCCATGCAGCATAAGGTATCTGGTCAGGGCCTGGGGCAGTGTGACGTACCTTACGTAGGGCTCTCTGAAAGTCCTGAAGAGCTGGAACCCGCAGGTCCGCGCAATCGAAGACGGGGAGGTGCTGGGCTAAGTACGACTGGACCGCGTTGGGGTCCACGGCCTTGCTCGAGAAGATGGGCTGCCAGCATTTCTGAAGACCTCCGAAAATGCCCTCGGGTGAGCTGGTGGTGGGGAGGGCATTGGTAGGTGTCCCCTCCTTTGGTATCCTAAGTCCTGAAAGTACGAGGCGACGACGAAATGGGTTCCAGGCCTGCGCCCGGCGCATGAGCTGCATCGCGGCCTTGCGGTTGCCGGCCTGGTCCATCTGCATCTCGGCGTGGGACTGCAGCTGGCGCTTTGTGGCGATGGCGACGCGTCTGTCGTAGTCAGCAGTAACGGCTGCATCCATAATATTGATGTACTCGCCCCTGTTGATGAGCTCGGGCCCGTTGTCGGTGAGGCGAAGGTGAGCGGCGCCAATGTCTGTCGCGGCCATGCGGAGCGCAGCTGTATCTGAATCTTTTCGCCAAACCGTCCGAGCAGTGGCCCGTAGTGAAGTCAGTCCCCCATGCTTCGCCCAGCGGCTTTGATCATGTAGTGTGGCTCGCTGTTGAAGATTACGAGTGAGGCGAGCCGCTTCTTTGATGATGAGCTCGCGTTGCTTCCAGGCTCCAGTTGGCGAGAGAGCTGCCGATGCGATGTTGTCCTTCAGGAAGTTGAAATGGCGTTGGTACGTGGGGCCATGGAAAATGAGCGGATCAATGGCCTGTTCCTCCTTCTGCGCCGCCGACGCGTTGACCAGCAGGAGGTGCAGGATCGCGTGGTCACTGAGGCCTTTGTCTGATAAGGCAGCGCCGTCTTTGTGGATCTTGAGATGAGCGTCGACGCTCATGAGATCGATGCCCGACAGCGATACGAAGATGCGGTCAATGGCAGTAGCCGCTGGTGTGTTGGCCGAGAAGTGCGCGGGTAGGTCGTGCGTAACTTCCGCGAGCGAGGTGAACAATTGACGCCAACGCGCTTGTTCACGCTGATACTGTCCATCAGGTGCCATCGGTCGCCAGCGTGCTGATGGATCCTTGAAGTTAAAGGAGGGGACCGCGCTGGTGTTGAAATCGCCCATGGCAATGAATAACCGCTGTTGAGGGTTCTGTGCTGCCCACTGTCTGGAAGCATGCCACGCTTCCGTCACTCTCTCCATATCCGAAGTCTGCAAATCGTGATTGTGCACATTCATGATGAGCGTTTCGAAGCCCGTGATGCGGTTGGCCACATGGAGAACAGCAACCCTCCCACGAATCACTGGCCAAAGTGAAGTAGAGGTCGTCGTCATCGAGGGCGTCGGTACTAAGAAAGCGATGCCACCCTTACCGCGGTTGCGAGGGAAGCCGCTGAAGAAGACCTGATAGTCGTAGGGAAGTTTGCCAAGGTGTGATTCGAGATCGAGCTGAGTGCTGTGCACTTCTTGGAGA